CAGGTGGCAGCCGACTGCTCTTGCCCCTGCCACTGAATGCATGTCACCGATGCGATGTTTGTGGGAAGTTGTTAAGCACCAAGCTGACCTTGAAGCGCCACAAGGAACAACAGCACTTGCAACCCCTCAACAATGCCGTCTGTAATCTGTGCCATAAAGTATTCCGGACCCTGAACAGTTTAAACAATCACAAGAGTATATATCACCGACGCCAGAAGCATCACTCATACTTCCATCATGCGTCTGTGGGTGGTCCAGTGGGAGGTCCCTCCGCAGCTGGCAGTCGTTTGCATCAGTCATTGAGCTCGTTGAGCGCTGCCGCGGCGGCCAACAGTTCGTCCAACACTAGAGGCAACGACAACGCTGTCGCGGCTGCGGCTGCTGCCGCCGCTGCAGCCGCAGAACTGCTGCTATCGCCAATTGTTGGAGCCGCAGCAGTGGCCGGTAACAACTCCGGTCAAACGATGCAGCTATCCTCGCATCAACAGCAGTCATCGCCAAATATCGTAAAACCCTGTATGGACTACTTATAAGATCAGCATAATTTCCTACAGCACCTCTTCAGTTTCGCCATGAACCCCGCGGGAAGTGCACCAGCATCGGCCATATCTCACCATACTCTGACGACATCTAGCCATGCAGATGATATGGCGGCGTCACAAATAGCGTTGCAGCAAGCCCAACTACCACCAACAACGTCAACCACACCACCTTCGCCCCACGTTTCACAGGCGGACCTGCAGCCGCCGCCAGCCCCGCCGATTGTAGATCTGACTCAAATGGAAACATATGCCATGGCCACTTGCGATGATCCATACAGCAACATGCATCTGCTGAATCCATAAAGACTCCGATGCTTCGCATCCAAAAAAAAATCCAAATACCCACCACTCACCCACATCCCTCATCGCCCATCCCTAAACCCTTTTTGGATCTCAAAAACACCTACAAAGATTTATTTTATTAATATTTAGGCGAATTCAAAACTGTGATTTTTACAATATAACATTTTTTAAATTTCATTTAGAAACACTCAAAAAGAGCGAGAGTGAGAGAGAATATAGTGCTCGACTCTCATATCACGCAAGCGTATTCGTAAGTTCACTGACTAAGAAATTTGACGCATTTTGCTAAGCAAATGCGATTAATTAAGGACCCCCATCCGCACCCAATACCTCTCCCCATTCATTCCCTAGCCCCTTCAAGTGTTTGAACAAAAACAAAAATGACTTGTGCAATTGTATTTCGATTTTTACTATATTGTTTTTTTAATTAGATTTTACTTGTATATTATTATACGTTTTTTTTTTTCTTTCTGTAATAATATTCTCGACAATACACCAAACGGTATTAAAATTAGTCTGTCTGAGGAATAAAAAAAAAACAAAAACAAAATTAAAACTAAGAAACCAAAATGAGAACAACCGAAGTCAGACCACCTTCGAAAGACCCCTGGACCGAGTGCAGCGAGCTTTCGCTTGCAGCAACAACAGCAACAGCAAGGACTGAGACTTATTGTGTAAACTCAGAAGAAGAATTCAAATCATTGTAAAATACACTAGGCATTGTGGCACTAGGACGACCCCAATGTAGATAGAAGTTCTGTGCGAATCTGCATTTTAGATTTACATACATTTATAGGTGATATACATACATAGAATAGACAAAGATATATATATATATATATATATATACATGTACATATATGTACAAACATTCACATGCACACAAAAACCCATGCAAGATTTTTCCTTGTAAATAGGCGTATTCAACCTCATGGGATATAGAAGCCCTACTCCGATTCATACACATTTCTGAGCGATAATGTAAGGCCCCACGAAAAGTGTACTCATATTGCTCCTGTAGCATTTCGGTAGGATGTCTCACATTTAGAAAACAATTTGAGTGAATTTGGGCAATTGAAACATAAATCCACTTGTTTTAGTTTCACATACTCTTACGTGTAGGCATTACTTGTCTTCTTGAAATTCGATGGGATTTACAGTATCCCCCTCCCCTCTAACACTGGCGATGGCCCCTTTTTGTGTTAAACACAAATCATCGACGAAATTTGCACTCACTTGCATTGTTTTTAGGCATTGAAAGGACTGATAGTTTTAGGTTTAAGATCAAAATTAATTAAGAATTTGCTTTAAAATTCCTTTGGCAATGATTGACCAACGTTTTTTTATTGGCGATATTGTTTTAAGGAATCAAATCAAAATTTTCCCTTTACGAGAGAGAGAGAGAGAAAGAAAGATATATAGAAGTAAAGAAAATCCATTTTCGTTGCAAAGACTGACTTTTATTTGGGACTTTTCGCAAGAAACAAAAATTGATCCATTTCAAAATTATTAGAAATTATTGTATAATTATTAAATTGTGATTACTGAACGCATCCTGTTGTTGAATGATGACGACGATGCTTAAGCAGACAGCGTGAAGTGTGCTTTAGAACTGAAACCGAACTATACGATACGAAACGCTATGCTAAGCACAAGCAAACAAGTCTGACTATACATATGCATATTTTTAATGTTTTTTTTCTTCTTTTTTTCATTTACCAAAATTACATTTTGTAAGCAACAGTTTTTCAATGTTCTGCACGCTATTCTCATGTCGAGCAGAAGAGTGTGTAATGAAAACAGATAAACTAACACAACTACAATTACAACTACTATAACTATTTATACATTTAAGTATTACTATTATTATTACAACTGTTTTATTTGTATACAATACAAACACCTACAATCTGTTCCAGAACTTCTGATATTTTGTGACCCCTCCCCCACCCCATCTACTCATACGACATATTTGTTTACAAACTACACCTATTTACAGACATACATATATAGATATAAGTACATACATAATATATGATGTAAATGTTTTTTTGTTACAATAAATTACAAATGAAGATATGTACATACATGCAAACCACCAATCGACCTAAAAACTCACAGCCACTCACACACACACACACACATATACTTACTATTCACTAAGTTTAAGAAACAACACCGAGTTATCTGTGCGCATTTTGTTTTCTTTATTTTTATAGACCATTTACTATTTTATAGTTCCGTTCGACTCATTATAGAAAGTTTACTGAATTGTTTTTAGTGTCTGTCCCCAACTAAGCCCAATTGCATTAATTGCAATCCACAAACGTATATACTACCGCATACATACATATAAACATATATAAATAAATATAACATTACCTAATACAAATACAAGCCAACTACATACATGCATATAAATAAAAATCGAGCAAAACTTCCTAGTTCTTTTAATCTAAAATCTGTAATATGTCAATGTCGATGTCGATGTCACCATAACCAAAACCAAGCAAAGCGATACGAAGTGAATGAATTATGCTGAAATAGTTCGTGAAGATGGGGTGATTGAACACTCTTACAAATGTTCGTGTGCCCAATCGAGAGATTTGTGATATAAAGCTCAATTATGACTACTTTATGCCTGTCCCTAGGACAAGAGTAATAAAGGGATTCGCGTAGAAGAGTTGATGATTAGAATTGGCACAAGGGTATATGTTCTCTATCGAAGATCCATTCCACAACTTTTGTATGTTAAAGTCGTTAAGCCATAACCGTTACTATGTCCGTGTTGTTTCAGCAGTCTTCCAGAACTGACCTCTTAGTGCATGCGACTTTATACCACAAATCTCGCCATCCCAAAGTATCCCATAAACACATACCATAAAATTATACCAATATAAAGAGAAATAAAACGAACAAAATTACATAGTCTTAATTTTATGAACATAGAACAACAAATCCTATATAAAAAGAAAAAAACCAACAAAAAATAGCAACAATAATAACCGATGAAATGTATTAAACAATAAATCAATCATACATACATAACCAACATACATACATCCATACTATCAATAGGAGAAGATGGCAATTGAACATAAATCCGCTGCACCCAGTCCGCTTCAAACACATACGTCCGCAATGGCGCACAATGTGACAACGCTGGGGAGTGTGGATGTATGCAGGTGGACACGGGTGCAGTCATCCACCAGGAGATCGCCAAAACCAATCGAACGTTTGCCAGTACCCGTTACATTTTTTTTTCATTTCTCAATTGGCCACCTTTTGCGATCTTCGTTAGCCAAACTCACACTGATTGGGTTGTCCGTCAATATTATTGTTCACTTATTTTAATTTTGATTTGCTTTTCATTTATGAAAGAAACCAATAGAAAAACAATTAGAACGTGTTTGAAAACACTCCCATGTACTCTAAGCCAACTACCGCTTTGACAAGTGTATTTAAGGAACACTAACAATACAAAGAAGAAGTAGAGGAGGAAGAAGAAGAAGAAGCAACAATACACGAACATATTTTCATAAGGATAAGCTAAGTGAGGAAGTAACAAAAGGATGAGTTATTATTGAAAATAAACGATTAAGATGATGACAAATTGTAAAGTTGTTTAATTTCCCTGGTCCAGATGCGATATCTGATATGTGAGATGTTGCCGTGCCATTGCTCGGCCACGGTGCTGAGCTATGGAGAGACGCAGTTTAGCCAAACGTCATGGAGTTGCATACTTAGAATGTTGGTTTTTGTTCTTGTTTGGTCGCTCTGTGTCGTTGCTTCATGTGGGGTGGTATATGCACCTTAAGTACTACCAACTGCTACTAATTGTTAAGTGTGTTTGTATTTTATTCTATTCTACTTCGTGTAAGCTATTAATGTGTTGTGCGCGTTATTCGCCTTGATGTCATTCATTTTTCTTTTTTCTAGGTGTGTAGTCTTGTACAATCTTTTACACTTAAATTTGCCAATTGTAAAACGAAACTAGCACTTAAGTCAACCAATCATCATACTTGCATATTAACAATACTACAACAACAATAACAGCAAAAACCAAATATCTATAAATGAAACATCTTAACATACAACTACAACTGCATTATTGATACAATGAAATCGTATAACCTTCCAATAAACAAATTGCAGGAAATTCGCCTAAGAAACTGTTCTCATGCCAACTATGTGGTAAGCTTCTCTGTTCAAAAGCTTCGCTCAAGCGTCACATTGCCGACAAACATGCCGTTCGCCAAGAGGAATATCGTTGTATCATCTGCGAGAGAGTGTACTGCTCGCGCAACTCGCTGATGACCCACATTTACACGTACCACAAGTCGCGGCCCGGCGAAATGGAAATGAAAGACATTAAACTGTTCAATCAATTCAATACCACGATCTGAGAGCGGACGCATGACACCGCGTCATGCCACTACTGTATTACAACAAACGACCATTACACATACAATTATTTGAACAAATCTTGCCACCAAAGTGGCCGCGATACTGACCACAATAATCTGCAACAGCAGCTTTCGCGAGACAACACTACTCGTAACATCTACGACTATTATTTATATCACTTGAAAACTACATAAATTCGATTAACATGACTAATTCCTCTCCCATGTCATTTACAACACTCACAACCACACACACACACAGAACCACTATCCATTCACCCATTTAAAAATATCTAAGGACACCGAGTTAGGTCGACCATCTTAACTGTGCGCATCATCGCCTTATTCTTATGGACCACTGACCATGGCTAACTACTATATACTTACACGCATACACATGTGGCCTTCTACAAACATACAAATAAAAACAACAACTTTTTACCTCTACACCGTAGTCAATTTAACTATTAAGCTCTAACGTTTAAGACTTACCGTAGCATTAACTGACGAAAAACGCTCTCGAACATCCGCGGACACATTTCCATTTAGCTTTCGCCGGCGATGTACCTCGAATGTTGGGCTCAGCGGAGGAGTGCGCTGCTTTGACACATCAGAGTGGTAAACATTTAAGCATACTTGAGGATCACTTATAAGTTGTTCTATCCTGTTAACCATGAGAGACGAGGTGAGGATCACTTAATAGTCAAAACCAAAAAAAAAAAAACAAAAGAAATTCCACACTCAAACTATTGGCTTAATTTCTCCTCTCAAAAGTTCAAGTTCTTAGATGAGATTTTCAAATAAGAAGTAGTTAGTCTAAATTGCTAAACTCACTGACTCTCTATGTACTCTGTCTCTACTCCTACTCCTCGCCACTTATCGAACTTACCTATGATAATCTAGCCCTTGTATCCTCTGCTATTCTAATACCTTCCCCTCCCTTCCAAACCTCATTAGATGACCAGAACAAGTCTATTCATCTGTTGAAATCCCTCCTATATTCCCACCTAAATGCTAATGCAAAACACGTGTATATTCTGTAGTCATGTTCTGTGATGAATCCAGCCCTGTGTCTGTAAATCTGACGCTACCTAATCACATCATACTTTCAATTAATACTAGCTGTCGTTTTGTATTTAACTCTCTCTCCCTCTCATTGAACCATCGAAACGAACACCGACGAGTTCGCTCATTGCTCAAAGCCTCTCTCTCTCACACACACACTCTGTACTCTCCTGTAGAAAATCAACTATGCTCTCGACTTCCTTTCCGACCTCTCAGAGTTGTAAGTATACATGAAGATGGATGGCCCCTAACGGGAGGCCAACTCGTGTGCACCAGTGCAGGTTGATCCTCGCATTAAGCCGGCGCTACTGTCGTACCTAATATTTTCACCACTACTGTAACCACTTTCTTTTAAACTAGCTCGTCTCCGCGCTGAGAGATGTAAATATTGCGTAACTTACTTACTTTCCCAATACTTATCTCTATCTCTACACATGGCACCCATCTAAACATTGCCATTAAATCATTGATCTCTCGTTAGCTCAACACCCACTCAGAGGTACAAGCGATGTACGTACATCTTGTGCAGTAGTATATACTTCCATTGTTTTTATTTATTTATCTATGTATTGATTGAATGATTTCTTTATTTATTTATTAATATAGTCTAGATCGAATATTTTTATTTGATTTGTGGTAAGTTTCATGAGTATCATCTGCTTTAACATTCAGCTCGCCGCTTGCTCTTGCTCACTTCATTCATTCTGTATGTAGTCACTAATGCTTATTTTTCATTCCGATCAACTTTGTAACTAACATAACGTCTGTAGTGCATGCTTTGTAGATATCTGTAGTGTTGCATGCCGCATATGTAGTACAGCCATTGGTTTCAGAGGCGCATACACGCATGTGTATGACTTGTGAATGGGCAACACGAAAATGAAGGACACCTGCATTTAGTGGAGCGTCGAAGGCCAAATGCCACAGGCGTACAATGTACATCGAGTGGTCTCGAACCCTCCGCAAGGTCATTGTTTGTCTTCTTGTGTCCCACCATTGGCTATGTAGTATCTCATGTGTGTAGTATTTGTTTGTTCTTAAACACCACCTGAAAAATATATATTTTCAAAAAAGCAGATACACTGTTGTAAATCTGGACATATGTATAAATTATCCAAAAGACAAACCTTCTTCTGGAAATTTGTTCGGCATGCTGGGGAACAAATTTTTGGGGAAACTTTACCGACACAACAATCTAAGTAAACAAATCCATTTGTAGATTTTTCCTATCGCTTTAGAATTTCTTCAACTTCCACAAAATCTTCAATACGAACAATCGATAACTTTCTTTGTTATTTCTACCTAAGCAATACACCTTTCCTTTAGACGCGTTCAATCTAATCTACAGTTCTTAAACTATGTATTTTAAGCAAAATAAGAAATCAACTACAACAACAACATAATATATATATACATATATATGATATAAACGTTGTTAAAGGTATAATTTAATATTGATCGCTTAGAAACGACTCTTTACTTTCTCATAACTTATTTTCCATACTGGATTCATTTGTTTTCTCATTTCTCACTTTCAATCAGCACTTTAATTTTTGAGTTCTATGATATGCACGCCTAGTGAAGTCAGGTGATTAACCAGTTTGTTTTTTTTTCTTTCCCCGCCCAACAACAGGATCCCACAATGCTATGCGGTCGACAGCGTCATCGCCAACAAGCTCTACCTCAGCTCCACCATCGCCACCAACGGTTGTCACATCGCCAAACTCGTCGATGGGGACGATGGTGGGCCATGTCAACAACGGCGGAGTGCCCTTCAATCTGCATGCCTCCCCACCCAGGCCAGGCAGTGGAGGGGCAGCCGGAACGACACCCACTAACAATAACAACAGTACGCCTCAAATGCCTTTACGTATGCCCCCACCGACGAGCGGCGGCATTAACGAACCTCAGGAATGTCCCTATTGTCGACGCACCTTCTCCTGCTACTACTCCCTCAAGCGGCACTTCCAAGACAAGCACGAGCAATCTGACACACTGTACGTATGTGAATTCTGTAGTCGACGATACCGTACCAAGAACTCGTTGACTACACACAAAAGTTTACAACACCGCGGCTCCAGTGGCATGTTGAAGCGCCTGCTCAAGACCTCAATGAAGAACGTGCTGGTGCCGCCGCCACACCACCACCACCATCACCATCCGCATCATCCCCATGCCATTACACATCAGCGCACTCCGCTCTTCGACTTTAGCAGTGAATTGGGACAACCACCACCAGGTATCCAATAGGATATATTATGGAATGCCATCTTTTAGAGAAGCATCCCGTCAAGTCAATTGAACCATATCCGGATCGGCATCAATCCTCTACACCGACTGTAGTCTGTCGTGCAATATCAAAACAAACTCTGTCACACATGGCTTAAGATCTGCTGATGCACTCCAGTTACATCGTCCTTTCTCCCGAAAAAGCCATCTCCGCATGGAAGAACCAGTCCCTTCTCAATGTAAATAAAACACCACCCATCTTAGTTGTAGGAATCTTTCTTTAAGTTATTACAATGTTCTTCAGGTATTTCATAGTTACAAACAACCAATGTACCACAGCCACCCACACATATTTTTTCTTTATAAAATGTAGTTTTAGAGGAAGGCGTACTGCCCCGCAGTGCTGCACTCCACGTATTTCCATAAGCGTCTATGTTAAGCACATCTGTTCGTCTTACCCAACGAACAACTCAGTTAGAGAACTCTAATAGATTTACGCACCAAGTGAAGCCGGAGCTCTCAGTTAACTCCGGCTTTTGACAGGAAGAGAATTAAGGACTTTTTTCAATCGATTTATTTTGTAAACAACAACCGAAGCGAATAGGGGGAGAACAACGAACAGCGGCTGCCAAGTGTATTAAATGGGCCAGCGATCAAGTCCAAATAAACATATCAAAGCGTATACGCAACTTCATGAAAATAAATCACCTACACACACCCCTGCACCGTTGCGAACATGTACGCAATTGGGCCCAGGGGCATAGCCGCCCATGGCTGCCTGTTCGTCTTTCTCTCACGCGCTCGTAAACCCCGTTTTTACTTTGTACATACAAGTTCTCACCCACACTAACAGACAATTGTAAAATTATCTAAAAATAATAACAGATACAGCAGGGCAAACCCAATTTTAACAGATTCGAACTCGTGCTTTCGAAGAAAAAAAAATAACAAGAAACAAAAGTGAAAATAAGATAGAATTTTTAACTTATTTTTAAGATAATATAACAACAAAAAATCACAACAAAGTATAATTACTTCAGGGAATATATATCTACAATCTATAGATATGTGTATGTCTACTCTAAATCATTTGTATACAACAAAACCCAGAACAAACATTTTCGATGTAATAGAAGAACTCAGTGATGTTCACCAGTGAAGTACAAATACAATGCAAACCACCCGACATTATTCTGAAACAAAACACAAAACAACAAAAAAACGAGAACTCACGAGCTATTTCAGAACTGTCGCCGAAGGGCTCTGCTCTGAATATAGACCCGTTTCAAGGAACCAAAATGTTTGTTAGTTAGCGTATTTTTATAGTTTACTCGCACATATACATCTAAAGATTTGAAATGACATTTCATACCGACAAATGAATGTTCAGGTCTCTGTCCACTGGACACGTCTTCTTGCACATATCTATAAAATGTCTCAGGAATTTTTCAATTTACACACATATTTTAAATGCAAAACGTTACATATTATATACATATACACATACATAGTGCATAAGTTCGTACATATAGGTAGTTATGCGTATCTCTTATTGTATAACGAAATCCAACGTATCCCTACCCACCCCGATCCTAGGATTTACATATATATATATATATAATAACCCAAGTGAATGTTTACCTGCCAGATACGCACGAAAGTCAACATGGGCATGATCGCTCGTAGTTTGAAGAGGACATACGAAAAGTTTGCTCAAGTCTTATTTTTTGTATGTAATGCAGAGAGTGCCATCCAGGCGAGACCAACATTTCAAAGGGATCGTTACCTCTAGTGGCCAAGCTCAAGCCCAGTCAGAATTAACAACAATATTTATAAAGTATTTTTATTACGTAATATAACCAAGCAGATGTCCTGAATAAGGATTTCCGTGTATACCTCATATTGAATAAGAACAGGCGAACATTTTTCGGTATATGCTGGCTCTGTTGTTGTGCGTTCACGTCAATAACAACCCACTCTGTGCTATATGTAGAAAGGATGCAAAGCGACCGCGAGGAAAATAGTCCAACTTCAGAAAGCAGTTTCAGAATTGTTCTCAATTTTGCCGCACTATATATTTTACAGTTCTGAGGTTTGAAATTCCTCCGTTTCGCTGGATCTTTAGAGTGCTATGGCACGGTTACACAACTGATTACTGATTTCCTTTGTTTTGTTTTCGTTTATTATTAGACAACCGCATACCTCCTTGCAAACAAACATACATACATATATAGAAATACATATCTAGTTTATAATTATAATTTGAAATACCTCGTAGTTTTTAGTTCTAGATGGTCTCTTTTTTATGATTATTTTTTTATTATTATTATTACTATTATTACATTAATATTATCATTGTCTTTATTATTAGTTCTTTAGGCTTTTGATTTAACGGTTTATTTCGTTACAAAGTGAATAAAAAAAATTTTCAAACTGTGATCTTTATTTTCAAATAGCACATATTTACATATGTACATATATGTATAACTAAATTTATGTTTGGCTGTTAACTTAGTTTAAAGTATAAAGACTCCGACCACTCTACCTCAACTCTCACCTCACCAATTTTATTTTGTATGCATTTTTCAAAATTGTCGTTTCGAAATAAAAACAATGTTTAAACAAACAAAATATTACAAAATTTGATTAATCGTGACCTGCTAGTGAACCGAAATTGCTATTTGAGAAGGTAGCACGCACACACTTACATTGGTCTTCATTGTGGACCGATGTGAATACGGACAAACAGCAAAGCAGAGCCGAGCCGAGAAACATACTGACCAGCAGCGCCATCTTCCGAACATGAACTTTTACACCAAAAGGAAGCAAAAACAATTTACAAATTATATAGTTAATACGTGTATGAATAAAACCATTATTACTTGAATAGAATTCACAAAGCGGAAATCTTTCATTTCACAAGAATGGAGAACGTCGAGAAGACTGACTGCTTCTCGAGTTGTTAGTAAACGTGTTTGCATCTCTATTAATATAAGAATTGTTACTTGTCAATCTGCCGCATGTAGATCGTAAAGATAAAACCAAATCCACAAGTCTTAACAAAATACACAAATAAATATGCATACAAAAATGTGGTTTTCAAAAATGCAACGCATATCAAAGAAGACAAAAAATAAAACAAATTAAGAAACGGAAATACCTCAACATGTTATTGGAACTAAATATTGAACTTAAGCATTTACACGTACACACAAAACTTTAGGTAATTAATTTATTAAACAAAAAGGTCTTTAGTCAAAATTACGAAATTTTTTAACTACTCTTAGACGTACTCGACTTTTTATTTCAAACATTTTTAAACCGAAATCTGTGATTTAAAACAAAATTTGAATTTTTATTATTACTCGTATGCATTAATAGCGAATAACTACATACATATATACCCACAGGAGCAATGCAAATACTTCCTCCGGTCATCCCAGACACAACACTGTCAATACTTAGCATAAGGGCGAGTGTTTGACGAGCTCAATATCCGCATATCCGCGTATGAGCCAAATCAACTTCGTCACTCCTTTTTGACGACTTTGACCTAAGGGCCCCCTTTACACAAAACTGGCAAATTAACTCTGCCAATGAACCCACGCGTACCTGTGTGATATTCACACATTGAAATTGTTAAAAAACAAATATTTAAATAAATTTCCGATTGAAGATTTGATTTATTTCAAATTATATATGTACTGATAACTTGGATAGTAGACCCTATTAATTGAATTGAATTGGTTTAATGTTTCAAATATATAGCTAATGGATACGATGATCTTAAATAACAGAACATATTTTCCAAAAACAGAATTCAAATATTGCACACGTACGCGTATATTTACAAATAATATCAGGCATGCCGTGCAGTGTATGGGAAGGCCTTAATTAATACTTATCCAACCTGTCTATGCGGATGGGGCCATATATTTATTCCACTTCATTCATTCTGTATGTAGTCACTAATGCTTATTTTTCATTCCGATCAACTTTGTAACTAACATAACGTCTGTAGTGCATGCTTTGTAGATAACTGTAGTGTTGCATGCCGCATATGTAGTACAGCCATTGGTTTCAGAGGCGCATACACGCATGTGTATGACTTGTGAATGGGCAACACGAAAATGAAGGACACCTGCACTTAGTGGAGCGTCGAAGGCCAAATGCCACAGGCGTACAATGTACATCGAGTGGTCTCGAACCCTCCGCAAGGTCATTGTTTGTCTTCTTGTGTCCCACCATTGGCTATGTAGTATCTCATGTGTGTAGTATTTGTTTGTTCTTAAACACCACCTGAAAAATATATATTTTCAAAAAAGCAGATACACTGTTGTAAATCTGGACATATGTATAAATTATCCAAAAGACAAACCTTCTTCTGGAAATTTGTTCGGCATGCTGGGGAACAAATTTTTGGGGAAACTTTACCGACACAACAATCTAAGTAAACAAATCCATTTGTAGATTTTTCCTATCGCTTTAGAATTTCTTCAACTTCCACAAAATCTTCAATACGAACAATCGATAACTTTCTTTGTTATTTCTACCTAAGCAATACACCTTTCCTTTAGACGCGTTCAATCTAATCTACAGTTCTTAAACTATGTATTTTAAGCAAAATAAGAAATCAACTACAACAACAACATAATATATATATACATATATATGAATATAAACGTTGTTAAAGGTATAATTTAATATTGATCGCTTAGAAACGACTCTTTACTTTCTCATAACTTATTTTCCATACTGGATTCATTTGTTTTCTCATTTCTCACTTTCAATCAGCACTTTAATTTTTGAGTTCTATGATATGCACGCCTAGTGAAGTCAGGTGATTAACCAGTTTGTTTTTTTTTTCTTTCCCCGCCCAACAACAGGATCCCACAATGCTATGCGGTCGACAGCGTCATCGCCAACAAGTTCTACCTCAGCTCCACCATCGCCACCAACGGTTGTCACATCGCCAAATTCGTCGATGGGGACGATGGTGGGCCATGTCAACAACGGCGGAGTGCCCTTCAATCTGCATGCCTCCCCACCCAGGCCAGGCAGTGGAGGGGCAGCCGGAACGACACCCACTAACAATAACAACAGTACGCCTCAAATGCCTTTACGTATG